AAAATCATTTCGGCGCGCGTTTCTGGGGACTACATATGTAGTATATAAATTCACATAAGAATCTCTAAAAATCATTTCGGCGCGCGTTTCTGGGGACTACATACGTAGTATATAAATTCACATAAGAATCTCAGCATTAAGATCCAGTTAGACCGTTTAAGGTTTTGATTTCTATAGTTTGTGTTATCACATATACGGTCCTATAATATATTATATTATTTCTCTCATCAATAGTCTATCACTTATTTATCGCCATCTGACTTTTGAGACCTTTCTCGATAAAGGAGGTTGAATAAAATTACCGGATTTTTTATTAGTTTAGCTTGAAATTAACGTTTGCAAGTGATTTAGCACAAATGTACGAAAGAAACATACATAAAAAAGGTTCCATTACTTAGGCTAAAATTGGTTATAAGTAAAATAATAACGAATTTATGACGTTACATACTATAACTTTATGAATTTTTTAATATGTATATTTATTATGTTTTTATTTTGATCAACTATATGTGTTAATTTTAATTATAATATGTAAATTGAATGTACTGAAGATGGTCGCATGTTAGACCGAAACGTTTACCTAAATTTATTTTGAAATATATATTTTAAGCTAAACACATCAAGCGTTGTGGCTGGATGCTCCTTATTTACAATTTTTAAAATTGGTTATTTTACACAATGTTCTAGACCCTAGACAATTAATAAAATAGGTCAATTTTGACTAAAGTAATGAAATTTTTTTTATGGTTATTTTTTTGATATTTTAAATAATTTCAAATTAAACTGACGGGAAAATATTGAAAATTGCAATAAAAAACCAGATTTGGATGGAATTATGCTACTTTTAATGTGATTTTCAACGTGTTCCCATCAGATAAATTTGAAGTAAACGTATCCACATGATGCAGCACATAAAAAAATAAAAGAAAACCGCACAAGAGAACTTCCATTGTGTAGGCCAAAATCCAGCAATTTCACCCATCTTCTTTTGCTCAACAATTTAATTAATAAAACTATAATTTTCATTTTAAATAATGATCATAATAATTAGGGGAATACACTGAATATAAAATTATCGGACATCAGGTATTGGATATCCAGTAGGGCAATTATCCGATCGAATAATAAATATTTTCTTGGATATACTTGGATGTATATATCTCGGATATCTGGAACAAGCTTCCAAAAAAAGCAAGGAAAAAATAGCTATAATAATTTTGTTATTTTCCCATGAAAAAAAAAGAGGAAAGATGAACTGTGCAAGAAATTCAGCTAAAAAATATAAAATTCTGTATTAATGATGCAATAATGATATCCGGCTATCCGACCAGATAGTAAGTACAAGTACCGGATAATATCGGATGCTGGATATTTCCTGGATATCCTAATAATCATCCCTAATAATATAATCGCATAATTTTAATAATAATAATTTTAATCTTAATTTTAATGTTAAGTTTGCTTACAATATTTGAGGAGTTTTTAGAATTCGGAAACCACCTCTTAACCGAGGAAATACATCCTCCGCGAAATAGTAAGTATGCCCTACTGCCATTCCCACAAGATCAACCCATATCGTATTGCCAAGCAATACAGAGAAGCCTAACAGCACCCACGGTAAATATGGAGCCTAAAAAAAAAGTTATAGGTAATTGTAACATGACTATTTATTAAATAGAAGTTAGAATAATAATGCAATAGCTAATTACACAATATTAATAAAACAAAAATAATATGTGATATGTATATTTCTTTAAATTGAACCTACTTGGAAGTTTAAAAGTCCAAAGAAGTTCATCCTGACAAAAGGATTTCGTCGTGACCACACATACACCAACATTATTGTGAATGCATGCCCCAGGAATAGCAAATTGACGAAGAATGCAAAAGTCTATGAATAGTTAAGGAACAAGGACAAAAATATTCTTAAAAAGAAAGGACATTTTTTAAATAGCAACATTAATAATTATAACTATAATTACTATAATCATAATTATAATTACCCTTGTAATTACTACAATCACTATAATTACATTACTATAATTATGAATATTATTATACACACAAGTGTTGTTAATTGTAATTATTATTAAGACAGAAATGTAATTTAATTTAATTATTAATAGAATATTAGTGTTCCAATCGATAATATTATAGAATGTCACCATAATTATGATTATTGAAATTATAATGATTAAAATTTGTCAAGGATACAATCATGCATAATCCACCAAAAATAAACATCATCACAAAATCAGCTGTTCTCCTGCGGAAGGATCCTTCCTCCAACATACGACAATATCGATATGTGAAGATCATATTGAATAATAGATTGAATCCAACGTTTCCAAAGAACAGAAATGTTGTTATTAATCGCCATATCTGAAATAATCCAGTGTAATACTTTAGGAAACTTATGGTTGTACTGTTGATTCAGTACATGACAAAAAAATCAATTTGATAAAAAGTACAAATCTATTCATAAATTTTCTTCTAATGACGATAATAACCTTTGAATTGGCTTAGATAATAAAGTCAACTTTACATAGCTATTTGCACATTTATACTTTCGTACCTGGTATTGTTCCACAATAAGAATAGGATTGAAATATAGTTGAAACGGGGATACCAAGTCTAATTGCTGAAACATTTAAAGTAATTATACATTGCTGACAAACAAATATATTTTTTAAACTCAACAAAATCCATTTGTTCATTCGATTAAAATTATTTCCTAATTATCAGGCTTCTCTCTGTATAATATCATTTTTATACAATCGTTAAACAAGCATCAGGATAAGTGCTGAGTCATCAAATATGCTCAAGTATAAGACTTTATCTTACAGAGAAACAGATAAAGAGAGAATTTGAAAATGTAAGATAGGGATTTGGAATGAAGGAAGATTCGGGTTTGGACCCGCGCGACGGGCAGCCAATGGGCGAGGTTGATCGACGAGATAAAAAAAAAACACGAGATAAGTACCACAGCAAGGGTCGTGATGACACAGGCTGTGGTGTAAGCCCGCGTCACCACGGGCATCTGCTTGTACTCGTGCCATAACGCTTCGTAGGCCATTGGCATCGATTGTCGGCGACCTCACGCCGAACGTATTCCTTCGTTCGCACCGAGACCTCGCAGCTGCACACACGCCGCTCCCCAATCCTGCTGCCCGTTTCACCATCGCATGTCGCACCGATGCGCGCGGCAATGTTACCTGCACATCGTTGCCCGCAAACGCGATTTCGTCTTCGTTGTCCGCTCCGCTCCGCACACACAATCTTTGTACACGTAACACGTGAAACTGCGTGAAACGTGAAACTGTCGGCGGGGGGCGGCGGGCGCACGCCTGGGGGAATTTCCGCACGAAATATACCCGATACCGTTGCTGCCAATCCACGGAATCCACACGGGCGTCGGGCTGTCACGGACTGTCGGGTTGTGACTTTTTCGCCAGCGGGTTGCCGATCTGTGCCCATATCGATCACCGCACCAACGACGAATTCCACTAAACTTCTCGTCGCTACGGTCGCTGTTGCGCGCGGGTTGTAATGTTTATCCTACGTAACGTCGGACGCGAAAAATCACGAGAATCATCACGGAACATATAGAATCGTGTCACTCCTCCAGTGAGGACGCACGTGAAACGGACTTGATCAATCATTGCGTTTGATCGACTGTCGGAAATAATCCAAGGATGGTTCTTACTAAGGAGTACCGTATTTGCATGCCGCTCACTACGGAAGAGGTAACCTTCGAACACTTATTTAATTATTTATTATTTTATTCGATAATCGAAAGCATTTATCCCACTCGTTTGATAATTATTGTTACCTATCATACGTTGATCTTTTTTTTTTGAAAGATGTCAAAATCTTTTCTTTAAGAATTACTTTGTAGTGATCGATCAATTTCTTTGTATAGTATCGCATCGGTCAGCTATATATGATTGCCAGACATAGTCATGAACAATCCGACAACGACGAAGGAGTGGAAGTGGTTGAAAATACCGTCTGTGAGGATCCTGTTCATGGACAGGGCCAGTATACTGAGAAAAGGATCCATCTGTCTAGGTAAATCTTGTTTTAAATACATAACATATAGGCGCAGTTTCATAACTCATGGTTAACTCTTAACCGAGTTTCAACTTATTCACTGTCTCTTTTCAATTCTAAAATTGGAAATAGATGAGAAACAAATTAAACCTAAGTTAAAGAATTAACCACGAGTTGTGGAACTGGGCCATAGATAGAAATACATACAGTATTGCAACAGGTATGGACGTTTTCCAGCAACGATACAGTGTAACACGTGAATCATTTCATCCTTGTTTAACATTAGCAAACAACAAGAATATGTCCTTGTTGAAAAATGCCCTATATAGGAGCTTTATAGTAGCTTGCTTTCTTGAAACAAACATTTCACTGTCTCTTTTTTTTCTTTTCAGTAAACTCCCTTATTGGATCCAATCCATCTTACCACGAATATTTTATGTGACGGAAAAAGCATGGAACTATTATCCCTTTACTATAACAGGTACATTTTGCTTTGTTTGCATGATATAATCACAACACTGGATTACAAAAAAATTTGAATAATTTTTAGTGCAAGAAGAGGAATGATTTTTTAAAAACGTATTTTGAAACGGTGAATCTGCTACTAGAAAAGTTCCATCTGGTCAAATTTTTAAGATATAGCATGTCAATTTTTAAGACTTTCTAAATAATTTGGAAGCGATGAATGATGGAAAAGGCAAATCCACTAGAACTTGATGATAATTGAGAAACATCATGGATATTGGAACAAAAACATGCTAAATGATTACTGCTAGATCAGGCTTGTCCAACACTTTGCTTGTGAGCCAAAACGCTCCCACTTTTCCACTGTCTCGGTAGAGCGAGACGGAGCAAAAATAACAAAGGCTAGACACCAAGATTCTACCTGAATTCAGGTCTGTCCAAGCGTCAAAAAAATCTGGTCATCATCAGTTATAAAAATCACTGATTATCAGATTAAACGTCGAAATATTTGATTAAAATTTTATTGTAATTTGGGTGTTGCAGACAAGGATAATAAACAAAACACCTACTATAATTGCAAATTGAGGAATGGGTTCCCTTTTGGCTCCTTTCTATGACGCTTGGACAGATCTGAATTCAGGCGAAGTCTTGGCGTTTAATCCTTTGTTTATTTTCGCTCCGTCTCTCTCTACTGCAATGGTGGAGAGATATAAGCATTTCAGCTTACGAGCAAAGTGTTGGACAGGCCTGTATTAGACACTATATATATATATATA